TCTGGGATTTGGTTTTATTTAACTCAATTTTGATCTAAGATTTTAAATTCTAATTTTATCTCCTGCAGAAAAGCATTTTTTATAGGCATCATCACTCTCACCTGACTCAGTGAATGTCTGGATTTAGCCAGGATTCCAAGATTGGAAAAGCTACTAACACCAGGCAGGCAAAGGGTATGATTTTGTTTCTATAGGAAAAAAAAGTCACTCTCTGGCATCCCAGCTGCTGGATCTGCTTGCGGACATCGACCAGTGAGGACAGCAGTACGGCTAAGAAAGATAGATACCGCTCCAAGCTATGATGGCTTTATCGCTGACCAGACAACGTTGGCATTAGAAAAGGCTATCATCTACTTGTGGTCAGTTGAATGCCTTGACTTCCAAGGCTCGATCTGTGATGAATCAGTCAGGAAAGGGAAATCTGTTCTTAGCCATGTGTACTCTGATTACTTGCACTCCTGCTGTTGAAACCGAGGTAATATATTGGGCTCATGTACCTAATCCCCCTCTCCTTCGTCCTTATATTTGGAAGGAGCCTACTATTGTGGTTACTAGTTTTCCTATGAATGTACTGTCACCCCCTTATGGAACAGGTCAGCTGGATTTTCCTGATGAAGAAGGAACTGTTTTTGATTATACTCAATTTGTGTCTTCTGATATGTGCTTTGGCGCTCCTCCTTGTTATCCTATAAGACAACAAAATTGGATTGTTCCAGAAGGTAAATGGAGTACTAGTCAACCAAATGCGGTACATTTTTCTGCTCAATCTATAGATTCTAGTTGGACAGAGTAGGAGAACACAGCTTCCCCAGCTATCTCAGAGTGTGAAAGTTTTTCCTATGATCAGATATTTGAAAGACAGTCTTTGATATGGCAAGATTGTAGAGGATTGATAGGAAAAGTTTATAGGTTTTGGAATCATAACTGGATTGATCAGGGCCCTCTGGGAAGTTGGTTAGAAGAATGTAAAGATTATAAGGAGTTTACCTCAAAATGTAATCTAAATAATATTGTCCCTATGAAAGACAAGTTTAATACTGCTAATCCTATAGTTTGAGTAAATGGAGGAATAGCTAATCCCCGACCTCAGTTGAGAATAGGACATACATTATATCCTCCTCAATTACATATTTGGAAATTGTTAGCTGCTCTTAAGCCTGTAGAAATCTTTGATGGAACTTCTGCTATTACTTATGACAAAGTATTTTATGATTTTACTAAAGTTAAAAATTATGATGTTACAGCTTGTGTGCACTTCCCTCTAGTGTTGATCGGACACATAGTTGTACAAGAAATGAATTTAACTTGTCAAAATTTTTGTTTGTATACTTGTCTTAATAATTCTATAGTTTTTAATCCATCTTTTGAATCAGTCATGATTTTAACTCAAAATTGTCTAATTCTATAGATTTTAATCCATCTTTTGAATCAGTCATGATTTTAACTCAATGAAATTCTTTATGGACTCCTGTGAATATGCATCATTCTTTGGAAAGAAGCCCTGTTCAAGGACTAATTCTGAGATTTTTCTAAAGACTGCTACAGTGAGGCAAACGCATGACTGGTCTGATTATCACTGCTGTTTTGGGACTCATCGCTTTGGCTGCTATGGCTACTACCGCTGGTGTGGCGCTTCAGAAATCTGTTCTATCACAAGACTTTGGTGAACTTTGGCATGATGATTCTCATAAACTTTGGTTACATCAGACTAAAATTAATTCATGATTTCAAGAAGAAATTGTTGCTTTTCTAGGGGACTTCATTGGTTGGAAAATAATTTGATGAAATTGCAAAAAAAAGCTGTATGATTTGGTTGGGAAATAAGTTATTGGAATTGCAAAAAACTATACAATATATATGTAATTAAAATTCTACTCAATTTTGTATTACTCCTTATTACAATATGTATGTGATTGGGATTCTATTCAGATTTCTATTACTCTTTATAAATTTAATGGTTCTGTTTATGAATGGAAAAATATAGAATTGTATATTCAAGGAAAAATGGATAATGTAACTTTTATTTAGTTTTTTTTTTTTTTTGGTTTTTT